GTAACATCGTTACATACTCAATTACCCATAATGTCATGGCTATTATCGTGGTAGTTAATTAACCAGCAAGAATTGTAATAACATCGAAATGAATCTGAATAAACAAGGGACAAAAGTACTACTTTGTACCACCAACTACTTTGTATCAATCTGCTGTGTATATCTCCGTGCTGCTACCTCGTAAGTCTCGGAGAGATATTCAGACACTAACCTACTTACCTTTCACAGTATAGACTAACTATGAACTACCGATCCCTTAACTCTTAACTAAAGGAAACTACTAAATTCTTAGTTAACACATCCTACTTTTAGTTTCCCTAGCTAGCCACTCAACTAATCTATTCTTGCTGCCTGCAGAATTTTCTCGAATAAGACACCGAACCCAGCATATAAACGCCGCTGAACCCACTAACATGAGTGATCCCCATTCCTCCTTTCAACTTAACTGTCCACACACCAGCAGTCATACCATACCTTCCTCACTTCAGCCATTGACTAACAATGCATTAATGAACCACACACATCTTGATGTTGGATGGATGGATGGAAGGATAGATGGACGATTTTGCGCTCCTACACTATCCCTGATAATCGACCGCACGCCTATCTGTCTCCCTATCTACCCACGGAGTAAGGAGGTACTAGTCAACCCCCCTGTCTGTTTGTTCTACTCTCAGGTAATTTGTCTGCCTGCCATTTTCTAATTTGAGTACCGAAATTATGCTAGCATAATAGTTACGGTAGGTTGATGATTATGTATCTTATATTGCGTTCATGCTACATGTCTTCCCACTTGGAAACAGCCGTCTTGCGATGATGAAGCCATTGTGTTGTGGAATCTATCATGTCACTCGACACCCGATTTCTAAACAATTTGTAGTGGTATTTCTGATGCAAGAGATTATGCGGCTATTCATTGCTCTTATTCTTCCCTTCTCTCTCCCCTCATAGTGATATGCTGCTCTACTATGGTACAGAATGCTCGATGCATTCAAACACAAATCGCTTTTTAGATACAACATAATTCAATCAAAGGCAATTGATATATCCGAGGCGAATGGGCCAAATACAATCAATCATTCATCGCGGGACATTATCTCCATGTCCACGTGGTCATTATAGTATGATACGTCCTTCCTCAGTAACGTTGAGGTACTCGGTGGACTACATCCCTTCCCCCATCAAGGATGACCCGCTCCGCTGGATTGCTGCCATCGTAGTAGCGCTCGTCCCGCACAGGTCGTGTAGCGACATATACAGGCCGCTCAATGTATTCTCTGGGCTGCCGGGCAGCATCATCCATGTAGACACTCACATCTCTACCGCTCGGGCGCACGCTCTCAACCCGCTGGATCATCGGCGGCTCCTCGTACCGACTAGTGGGCGGGCGCACACTCGGCATTCGGACGATCCGCTCCCGGGGAAGCTCGGCTTCGTCCAGGTAAGGGGGGCGGCGAGTCCCGTATTCGGTCACTTGCACGCTGGCACTACGTGGGAACGGCTCTCGTTCATCCAGAGCCCCAGTGTACGGTCGCCGTTCGCTTGGAGCCGGACGAGCATAGTCGGTGACTCGTCGATAGGCAGTCGGCGGAGGTGGCATGTCCTGCACGTATCGCCGACCGCCATACGGATCCTCGAGGACGGATGCCGCCCGCACGCTTGCCGGGCGCAATGGCGTACGGTCGTCGTAGACGTCGCTTCGGGGTAGCCGAGCAGAGGGCGGAGGCATGGCCTGCAGCCTTGGAGCAGGCACTGTCTCGTAGTACTGATTGCCATGCTCGTCAACCACAATCCGACGCGGTGGAGGTGCCATGACCCGGGCTGCAGGTTCCTCTTCATAGTAAGCATCATGGAATCGAGGTGAGTTGGGCGATTCGCCAGCCGGAATATAACGTCTCGTAGGAGGCGGCTGCGCCAGCTCATCATAGTACCGAATTCTTTCAGGAGGCGGACGCTCCACAATAGCATAAGACCCTGCCCGCACGGAGTGGGGACTGGCTTGGTCAACATATTCACGAGCATACTCGGGTTGCCGAGCCTGATGCAAACTGGCAACTCTGCGCAGGTCTTGATCGTCCCGGACTGGCCGGCGAGCGCTAAGTCTCGAAAGGGTGCGCTGAATTCCCGGCTCAGCATGAGGCTCATACACCTCGTACTCATATGCCGGCTCCCTAATTTGTGGTTCTCTCCGCTCTAATACTGGCGTATAGCGCGGGGAAGCAATGTCAATGTACACGGGTCTTTCTTGTGGCTGGCGGGTCCGGTAAGCGTGTTGTGTGTCTGTGAATGGTGGAGGTGAAACAGGCTCTTCCTTGATGAATGCTTCTTCGACATGGGCCGCCGCTGGCGCTCTAGTATACGATGGACGACCTCTGTCATCATGCAACCTCCTACGTTTTCTAGACGTCAATGGCTGAGCAGGAACCTCAGGGCTAGCATGGTGCTCTGGACCGTACTCCGGACGTGAGTCCTTTATTTGATGGACCGAGGGCACCTTGGCGATGGCTAGCGGGGAGACTCTGGACGGCTGCGGAGCAGCAGGTGAGGTTATGTGGTTCCGCACAATTCTTACATCGCCTCCCCGCGAGAGTGATCTCCGAGAACGACGATGCCGCTCAGGCACTCGATCTTCCGGCGCTCGTCGTTTTGTCCCGTTCGCATAACCCCGTTGAGACCCATAGTTATCTTCTCTCTCCATAGGCGCTACCCCGGGAGCCGGTGGTGAATACTCTGGTTCTTCATACGCATCGGTCGGCTGGTCGGGTTCGGGATATTTGCGGACGGCGGCGTCCACCTCAGCATGGTGCGGCTGCCTCTGATCGTAGGGTACTAGGTGGTCTGCCACGGGGTAAGTATCTTGCACATCCTGATCCGATCCAGTTCTGTTGAGGGCTTCAAGCCGTTGCAACTCATCTGAATAGTTCTCTGCTGGAGCTTCAGTAGCCAGCTCCTCAGGATTAGACTGCGGAGCTGGAGACTGCCGCTGCGGCTCGCCATTCTGGGGAGAGTCAGGGGCTCTACTGGAGTAGAACGAGTTCTCGTCAAAAGAGTCACCGGGCTCTCCAGCACCAGGTGCCTCCACGGACGGAGACGGTTTGACCATCTCAAAAGCCTTCACTAGCACATCAGAAACGTCAAAGTCTGGTTTTGTGTCTTGTAGAGAGGCTTTCTGCCTCGAATCCTGCCTTTTTTGTTCCAACTGTTCCCGCAGCACTCTCTCCACCCGCTGCCGCTGTAATTGTATCTCAGCTCTGACTAGATCATCTGACTTGGTCAGAAATATGGGATCAATCTCCGAGGCAGGCTTAGGGACTAAACGCGACGGCCCGGTCGCGCCGGAAGGAGCACTTCCGGCACTGGGAGCCTGCGATGTCGCCGGCCTCTGTGCCAACGGAGCGGACGGAGGAAGTTGCGTTTTCGGGGGAGACTTGAGTTGGTCACCCGTCTTTACCTGGGTGGGAGTCGAGACAGGGGGGCCTCGAGAGGTGGGCTTGCGCACAAACTGCTGGGGAACCTTCAATCTAGGGTGAGTTCCAGAAAAGATATCGTCACTTATTTTCAGAATCTTTTCATACTCCTGCATCTCCTCACTTGCAGGCAGCCTGGTAGGTATATTACTACCTGAAGCCGGCGAAATCTGGGCTGTTGCCATGGTCTATAATAAGAAATAATACCCGGAGGACCGACAGAAAAAAACTTAAGTTGCCCGAGAAGAGCTGTTTTGTCACACCAGACACCAGTAGACCGAATAAGTTTCCTGCATCAGCTTTTTTGTTTTCGGCTGTAGCACTTTTTAATCCAATTCACTGCCTCACTTGACTTGGCAATAGGAGACTAGGATGGGTGGCCAAGAGTGAGGAGTATAATATTGAAGGTGAAGGAGGGTGAGCGAGGGAGGGATGGGGGAAGGCAAGGGAAGGGAAATGGGAAGGGAAGGTCGGTGATGGAGGTGGATGGATGATGAGGTGCGGGAAGACGTGGACGGGGGCGGTTTGCAGAGGGAAAAGCCAGGCCAGCTTCGTTGAGGCGCCAGCTTGCAAAGGCACCGCGCACCGCTAGTTTATTCTTAGTCACGGTTCACAGTTCAGTTAGATGTCCCTTCACAGCGCATTCACACATGGCCTTATTGGGTGTATACTAAGTCTGTTGGATTCCGAATGAGAGGAAAGCGAATCTCCTTGGTAGAAATGGCCGCCGTCCACCAAGTCAGCCGACAGACAGCGGGTTTGGTGAAGCAAACACAGAAAGTGGTGACTCCGAGTCTAATGCAAAGGCACCTTTTGTCGGGGAAGCAAAAAGGAAAGAGACTGTATCACTAGAGTGGAAATGCCGCGCCGGCTGGTCCCGCCATCGCCGGGGGAGTCACTCTGATTCACGGTTCCTGTTGCGCCGTATTGCCCCCCCTCTCGCGCTTTTCTTCGGTGGTGGCATTATAAGTGTCTGCGATGAATCATTCAACCCTGCGCTCCCTCTTGCGAATTCCTTTCGCTCCCAGAACATACCACGTCCAACCCTCCTCGTCTTCGTTTCTCCGCCAGAATCTCTCCTGCCACCGCCCGAGTTTCTTGTCTCCGCATCGCAACAGTATACCTTCGTACCCTCGAAGAACAATGACCACCACCAGCAGTCCGGCCAGTGCGCCACTGGACCCTCGTCCGGTCTTCTTTTTTGACATTGACAATTGCGTATGTTGAAACATGCTTTCCCCCCGACTTCACTCTTCGTCACTGACTTGAAGCGTGTTCGCAGCTCTACTCCAAAGGTGGGAATTTGCGAACCGAGGTATTGATCCCAGGATATACTGACACAACTACTCCGTGAAGGGTGCAACATCCACGATGAAATGCAGAAATTGATCAGTAAGCCATCGCGATCGCTGTATATTTTATACATATGCGCTGACCCAATCATTGTCTGTTTCTAGACCAATTCTTCATCAAGCACCTGTCCCTAAATGCCGATGACGCACACATGCTCCACATGAAGTACTACAAGGAATACGGTCTCGCCATTGAAGGTCTTACGCGCCATCACAAGATCGACCCCTTGGAATTCAACCGCGAAGTGGACGATGCGCTGCCGCTCGATGATATCCTCAAACCGGACCCCAAGCTGCGCCGGCTGCTCGAAGACATTGACCGCAGCAAAGTGCGAATGTGGCTTCTCACAAACGCCTATGTAACCCATGCGAAACGAGTGGTGAAGCTGCTGCAGGTGGACGATCTGTTTGAGGGAATTACATACTGTGACTATGGCAATTCGCCGCTGGTGTGCAAACCCAGCCAGGCCATGTATGAGAGGGCGGAAAAGGAGGCGGGGGCTTCCAGCACGTCAGAGTGCTACTTTGTTGGTAAGTCGCCCTCCCAATTCCTTTCTCACAGTACATACCCAGATCAAGTGCTGACCGATAGATCAAGACGACTCCGGCCTGAACTGTACTCATGCTGCCGCCCGGGGTTGGGCTGTGGCTCATCTTGTCGAGCCTGGAATACCCCTCCCCCACGTGCCGGCCTCGCAATATATGATACGAAGCCTGGAGGAACTCAGGACCTGTTTCCCCACCTTATTCAAGACGAAGCAGGAAGTATAGATTCAATCACATTATGCGATAGATAGATCTTATAGATGTGCATGGCCTCTTGTGTTTCAAGATGTCACGAAGACTATGAGCGATATTGTCATTCTGATTTTTAGACGGGTTCTCATCTTGGGTATAGGCATATACTGTTAAACACTCAAATGCGCATACTGTATAATTGGTACCCCACGAGAATATGACCACTTTTCTAACGCATAAACACAAACACTTATAACGTAACTAAACAAGCAGACCAGTCAAGGTGAAGATATACTTGGTCTGAGTAGGGCTACCGTGGTCCATGTGTGCCTCAGGCATGCACAACCGTGCACGAGTCGCGTCCTGAGGCTCCGAACGGGGGAGCTTCCCCGAACAGACACCATCAACAAGACAACAACATCCCATTCCCCTCGCTCTTCCACGACAGGACATTCCTGCACAGGGGCTTTCTCTGGGCCTGAATGCTTCAATATGGCTGACCTATCTCCGGGCCATGTGGTCACTTTGACCGACGGTCGGCAGGCCACCGTTCGGTTTGTTGGCTCGACACAATTCGCTGCGGGAGACTGGATCGGCGTGGAATTGGACGAGCCCACGGGCAAGAATGATGGCTCGGTTCAAGGAGAAAGATACTTCGATTGCGAACCGGGATTTGGCATGTTCGTTCGGCCAACTGCCATCGCTGCAATTGTTGAACAGCCCGCTCGACCGACTAAGCCTGCCACTCCTAAGGGGAATGCCACCACTACGCCCGCCAACCGCAGTCGCGCTCAAAGTGGTGTCACCACAGGGAGCTCTGGACTCAAGAGACCAACTTCCCTGTCGTCTGCGACTGCAAAGAGACATAGCGCCGGGGCTTCGAGTCCGACTTCGGCCCTGAGAGGAGCCGCTCAACGCTTGTCAACAAAGGTATTGTGCCGTCCCCCGAGCACGCCAATGGTAATATCTAGAAGCTAATGCTAGTCACACAATAGTCTCCTACGAAGTCACCGACGAAGCCCGCCTCCACCCCTCTCTCGAACAGATCGTCTGCAAGCAGCACACCACGGCCGTCTGCGGTGGCACCCAAGACTCGGACATCCATCAGCTCAAAGACGTCTATGGGCCCGCCCGCTCCTCCCTCGGCAACAACTCGCGCATCACGACCTTCGATATCGGCTCCGGCAAATAGGGCAGGCAGACCGAGTGTTCAGGGTACAGCGTCAGCACCGTCTGGATTGTCAAAGCGTCCTGTGCTGCGGCCAACGGGCTCAAACAAAGTATCGGAAGAAGCAGAAAGTGTAGCAAGCCCCCAGTCTGAGGAACTGGAGACAAGTTCCCATGATGTCGAAGAGGAGGTTGCGGATGACGCGGATATGGCGCCCAAGGCCCCGAAGCCTACACCGAGTTCTTTGCGGACAGCCGCCAGCCAACGATCCCAGCCAACTTCGTCACATCGACCGTCGCTAAGTGGCAACGTTGTTACAAGAGAGCTGGATGAGTTGAAAACCAAGCTCCGGGTCATGGAAAAGAAACGGGCCGATGACCGTGAGAAGTTAAAGACACTGGAACAACTTCAGGCGGAACGAGACAAGTTCGAAGGGATCATCCAGAAGCTGCAAGCGAAGTATCAGCCGCAGCAGCTTGAGATTAACGAGTTGCGGAAGAAACTGAAGGATTCGGAAGCGAGGCTTGAGGAAGTCGAGCGACTCCAAGCGGAACATGACTCGCTCATGGAAATGGCCACTCTCGACCGCGAAATGGCAGAAGAGACCGCGGATGCTTTCAAGCACGAAGTGGAGACTCTCAGGTTGAGGGTTGAAGAGCTTGAACTGGAAGCGGAGGTTCTGCGTGAAGAGAATGAAGAACTTGGTCAGGTCATGAGCCCGGAGGAAAAGTCCAGCCATGGATGGTTGCAGATGGAAAAGACGAATGAGCGTCTTCGAGAGGCCCTCTTACGTCTCCGTGATATGACCCAACAGCAGGAAGCGGAGCTCAGGGACCAAGTCAAGGAGCTTCAGCAGGATTTGGAGGAATATACCGCCATCAAGTCTAAATATGAGAAGACGAAACAGAAGCTGCTAGTGGCAGAAAACAACGTGGAAGACCTCAAGCAGCAATTGGAGACGGCACTCGGAGCCGAAGAAATGATCGAGGAACTTGCCGACAAGAACATACGTTATCAGGAGGACATTAACGAGTTGAAAGCAGCCATTGAGGATCTGGAAGCTCTGAAAGAGATCAACGACGAACTCGAATACAACCACATCGAGACGGAGAAACAGCTGCAGGAGGAGATCGATTACAAGGATGGTCTCTTCACCGAACAGAGTCGCCGGCTCGCCCAGCAAGATGAAGTCATCGAGGATTTGGAATATACTCTTGTCCGCTTCCGAGAGCTGGTCTCTACTCTACAGGGAGACTTGGAAGATATGCGTGCATCCCAACAGATCTCCGAGGCCGAGGCTACTGATCTCTCCACGCGCTCCCGGGCCATGATGGATCTCAACCTTAAGCTTCAAGCCTCGGTTTCGAAGGCGCAGACGAAGACAATCGACATTGAACTCAACCGTATGGAAGCAGAGGAAGCGGCGCAACATTTGTCCATTACCACGCTGTATCTTCCTGAATACTACGAGAGTGAGCGAAATGCCGTGCTCGCGCTTCTGCGCTTCAAACGCGTGAGCTTCAAGGCGACCTTGATGACCAGCACTTTCCGTGAGAAGGTCTCCGAACAGGCGTCTGTATCTACTCCGCTCGAAGACCTTTTCATTGCTCATGAAGTCATGGAGAAGCTCTTATACATTGCTTCTCTCTGCGACCGATTTGTAAACTACATCACGAATTGCTCTGCAGAAGGGTTCGAGAGTATTAAAGGAGCATTGTTCGAGATGGAGCCGGTTGAGCGCACATTGAACTTCTGGTTAGAAGCTCTGAAAAAGAACGACGTGAACATGAAGAAGTGTGCCGTTGAGCTGCAGCGATCTATCGCACTCTTGTCCCATCTGGCCGAGACTCTCCTTCCCAGCTCCTTGGAAACGTTCGCCGACGAATTGTGCATGCGCTCCATGTTGGCCCAGGCCTACACCGACCACGCAGCCTCCGCAATCTCACGTCTCAAGTCATTGTTCCAGTCGAAGCTTGTGGTGCCGGAAGGAGGCGACGAAGAGCACACCTTCCTATACAACAAAATGGAAGGCCTTGTGTCCCAGGCTCGAGGTCTTAAGGTTGCTATGGGAAAGATCAACCGTTCTCTGGAGGATCTTCGTTCCAGATCTCTTGCTCTCTCGCAGGATGTCGTCGGCCCTTTCAAGCAGGCTGAAGAGGCTGCCAAAGACTTGTCTGATTTGACTCGCCAGATTGGAGAGAACATCGTCTTCCTCGTCATCGACGAAAGCCGCACGCAACCTCTATCCCTGGAAGAAGCCTTGAACACTATGTCTCAGATCTCCACCCTCTACGCTCAGCCATCTGAAACCGGCAGCGAAAGCAGTGACACGATGTTCCTCATCGGCAACAGACTGCGCAGCCTCGGCGGCCTCCTAGAGGAGCTCGACTCCATCACGTCCGATCTATCAATCACGACGGAATTCGAGAAGCGTCCCTCCCCATGGACGGTCCGATCCGCAGAGCTCAAGTCCAATAAAACCATCTCTCCTGACGCCGACGAAGAGATCCGTCGCCTGAAGAACGAGATCCACGAAGCATCCACCGCCCTCGGCGTCAAAGACCAAGCAATCGAAGAGCAAGCCATCAAGGTCGAGCTGGTCGAGTCCCGGATGCGCGAAGCCAGCAAAAAGGCATCAATGGTCAAAGACCTCGAAGCCGAGCTCGAAAAGATCCGCACCCGGGAAACCGAACTCTCCTCCACCGTCGAAAAGCAACGCAAAGACCTCGAAGCTCTCGAAGCCGAACGAGACGAGATCAAATCCCGCCTCGACAAAGTCAAACGCATCTCCGGCACAACCGGCGCCACCACAACAGAAGGCATCGCCGTCGACGCCGGGGTCTCCCTTGCCACCATGCGCGAGAACGAAGCCCTCCGCGCCGAAGTCGAAAGCCTCCAAGCCGCCGTCCGCTACCTCCGCGAAGAGAACAGACGTGCCAACATGCTCGACCCCTTCTCCGTCCAACGCTCAGCAGACCTCTACTCCTGGCTCGACGTCCCTCTCACCTCCACGCAAACCACTCTCACAAACCCCTCCACCGAAAAACTCCACCACACCGCCCACGAGAGCAGAGAAGTCTTCACCCACCTTC